TACGTTTTTCTATCTTAAACAGTCAGTGGCTTTATAAAAAATATACATACGATAATTTTCAATTCTAAGTTTTTCAATTTACAAATAGATTCATACAAAATCATTCTTTTGTTACTGTTTCAGCAACAAAAAAAAAATAACTAAGTATTAACTAAAACAAGATTTAGCATTGGAGTAAATTTATGTTGAGTCTGCACTTAGTAGTAGTCAAAATTCATATTATTAAACAGAGACTTAGCAAAGCTATCCTAGTAAGAGAGTAATATTTGATCCTACAATTCATGTTTATGAATATGAATTTGGACTTATATTAAAGTTACAATTTTAGTCTAAACTTGTTTCTTAATAGCACTGTAGAAGTTTGATAACCGCTTTGAACTGGAACAATTATATTCACATGCTTCTGAAAACTATTGTTTTTTCATTGGCTTACGTGTTTGCATAATACGTGTCAAGATAACGTTATCTTGTAGACACCAACTGGTTTAAAGCTTGTGACAACAAGCAAAACGTTGTCATAACAAGTCAACCAACAAACCTTGCGGATGAGCCAAAAATTTTCAAAGATTTATTCACCAACTTCCCTGGGGCATCGCTGCGAGTGACATTGATTTACATTGTTTTGTACTGAGAAAGCCTTAGATTGTTCACGATAGCGTCCAGGAACTAGTTTAAGAATACCATACCTTATATAACTTGTATAAAGATAGCTGATCAATCACTGTCAATATTCAAATATGCTATGAGCAATAGAAATATATTCAAAACACCTATGTGACTCAATCGTTATAGCATTCAAACAAATGAATTTTTTAAAATCAACTCTCAGACTGAAGTGTCTTTATCACCCAAAAATTGCTGGATTATACACTGAAATGTTATATTGGAGCTTTTTATCTAAACAATACAAAACTATTTTTGCAACCAAACATTTTTCTGTGTAAGTGGACACCGAATCAATCTTTCCGATAAAATATCTAGAGGCACAACAACAATGTGCACGCTAAATCAGCAAAGTAACACACAGTTTAATTTGAAACGGATTCACCTTTACGACTTAGAGATACGTATCAAGTTGAACGCAAAATTTCTTCCGTGGGTAATTCACAATAAATCCTCAGATTACGGAAATGCTAGCTTTCCTTTAGACATTGAAAAATAGACCTTAATATCACAGTTGCAGCGACCGAAGTAGTTTCACGGTGTATGAGCTTTGATGATTTGGAGAGCGGTGTCGCGTCGACGAGAGGACCCAGTCTCGGATTCTCTGTTTTGCTGAGTTCGAAAAAAAACCTTATAATATTTCTATGGGTTATACCGGGCCCTCTTTGGACCCTTTCCAGTGAGTATTTGAAGGTAATTTGTGAATATTGGTATGCGATTGGTTTTCTTAGTATTTCGAGTGTTTCCGTATTGTGTGAAAGTTTTGATGATAAGGAAAATCCCTCGGGATTAGGGAACCAAATCGGAGTGCTGCTCTTTGTTGGAATAGTAAGATCGTATTAAAATTTTGTTCTGAAATCGCTATTGGATTTACTTTGTGTACTGAGAATTTGTTTATTCTTTTATGGTATATATAGTTTTAATATATTTTATTTTATATTACGAAAGTGATTCCACTATTTCTTTTAAAACATTTATTTTAGGAACAAACAGTTATACACAATTACATGAACACAAAATCAAAGAAAAGATAAATAAGCTTATAGTTTCATACATTACATTTGTTTTATTGCTCGACTGTTGAAACAATATATATCAAGATATAAAAGGATATAAAATTATAATGCCAAAGGTTAGCAATATTACTTAACTATCTATCTATCTATATCTTTATGCCGCGTCCCTTGAGGGGTAGGCAGAGAGAAACGGGTGTCACAAGGCACGATCCTTACATACACCTTTCGCATTCTCCGCTTTCAATACTCTTTTCATACATGCTTGCCAATTTTTATGTCTTCTGACGTCACATTCTAAGAGAGCACGATTGATTTGATCGTGCAAGGTGTGTCACGCCATCCTCGGCTTTTATGTCGTTCCTGCTTAATTAAATATTTAGGAATTAAATTATTAAAGTTTCTTAATCATAAAATATGCTTGCTACTACAATAATTGTTACATACATCGACGTTCATCTAAGTGAAAAACACGACACCCCCTCTTCCCCAACCCCACTTAAAATGAACTGAAGAAAAACACGATCACCTTTTATTTAAGAAGATAAAATCTACGGATAATTTACAGCCACTGTTGAACGTTGTATTCGCTGACAACCACATTAAATTATTGCCCGAAAATAAATTGCGTTATTACAACGGCAACTTAAATTTTTATCGCACCATAAATCAGAATAAACACTTTAATGTTGCATAGCGCGTTTCCGAAGCAGCATTTTTTTATATTATCATTTATTGCGTGGTTGTCCCATTTCAAAACCTAGTATGGAACATTTTGTAACATAATCTTGAAAATCTGGTAAGCCAATAGACGACTCAAAAACAAAGTATTTAAAATTTCAAAATATCAATACTTATTTAACTACATATTTTAAAACATTGAAAGCCACTTAAACCATTTGCAAAAGATGGTTTGTTCACAGTGGGACTGGCATGTAAACTAGTTTTACAAAGTTCCATAAGCATGTAAAAATATAAAAAAAAACTATTACTATAGAATAGTTCTTTTTTAGTTTTCAGTTTCAGTGTTATCTTAAATTTGTTAAGTTTATTGTCTTATTAAACGAGTACTTATACTCTTTTTGCATGTCTTCCATGGTGGATATCAAAGACTGCAGTGTCCTGTGACCAGCCCTTGCGCAATTTTAAACTACGCATCGTATACCGAATGCGGCATTACATCATTTTTTAACCAAAAAGTAAACTTATCTACCAATTGACGTCTCGCCTCTTCTGTAAAATTTGATTTTAGGTCTTTACCAGGTTTTGAAATAGGGCAGCCGAGCAGGACGCAATATGGACCATCAACCCGATTTCATAGTTACCGTAACGACGCAGTCCGTAACGTTTATCAGTTATGAAGACGTAATTTTCTGCGTTGTCGTAAACGTTTGTAGGTTTGTTATAATGAAATTGTGCAAGGCTAACATTTTTATTAAAAGTAATAACTCATAAAATGATGATGTCTACTTAATTAATAAGTGTTGTATTGACCGAATGTGTAATGGTACAAAAATGTTAGGTACTTCTTTTAAAACACAATTTCTATTAAACCGTATCTCCATGGCTTAGTATTTCTAAACAATAACTCTTAAAATAATCTAAACATATTGTTATTATTTTTGTACCTTATCAATGATTGCGTAATTACTTAATACAATAATTGACATAAGTACGTAACAATACAAAGGAACACTCTTTATAAAAAGTACTTTCTACTCTTGTTAATTTCAAGCAACCATTCTCCTAAACGGAATCTATAATATATTTATGAATATACAATTTATTATTATATACATTTACAAATTTAAATATAAGAACTCTAAATTAGAATATTATGTTGAGAACAATATCCTGCAAATAGCTATTGCGCTACCTTTTTTTTTATTATAGGTTGGTAGCACAGAGTAGTAATAGGCAGTAAGGTTGGCATTAAAAAAAAAGAATTATTATTGTAATGGACGATAAGTTTGTGAATACTTTCGAAGGAAATAAAATAAGTTCATGAGTATCGCCTGTTTAATTTTAACATCGCCATCCCTTCTAAGGTTGTTCAACAGCTTCAGAAGTGGGATAAACGAAAAGATTATACTTTTCGATCTATGCCTACAAAGGAAAACGTGAGTATCTAATATCGAATCCATTATCTTGATCAGAGTAAAAAAAGCAAAAAAAAATAAAATCTAGGAGTTTTACCCAAGTGTATGCAGATTGACAGTTTTGAGAATAATAGTACCTTACGAATGGTTTTTAAAAATTATCAAATTGTACCTAATACTCGACCGTTTTTTTTCTCTCCTTTCATGACATGTTAATTTTTTTTTACTTTTGCTATTCCGATATTTATAGATATCCTTCAACTTTTTTTTTCTCTCTCTTTTCTGTTTTCCTCTTTTCTCCGTCTTTCCATGGTGTGTTTAGATCTCATAATAAATGAGCAAAACCATTATTTGTACACCTAAATCAATATTGCAAAAAGGAAAGACTTAATTTGTTGTAATGAACACAGAAACTGCTAGACCTGTTTTGAAAATTCTTACCTTGACATTAAAGCTTTAATGTCAGTTAGAATATAAATAAAAACAAAAAAAAAAATGTATTGGTTTAGTGAAATACAATTGAAACAAGAAACTGTAATCAGTGTAATCACTTGTTAATGTATACTGAACATGTTGGATTCAATGATATCTATGCCCATTCCACAATATTGTCATAAGAACCACCACAATTTGTGATTTATTAATTCATTAAGAATATTATCAATTTTGCTTAATACCTTTTGACATTGTTTTAATTTTAACATATTATTCTTTAAAAGTGATTTATTTAATAAGTGTTTAATTTCCACAGGACTTCTATAACCAACGCCTGATGGCACTAGTTGCATCACAAATGTGGTGAACATATTGGATTAATTTATCTTTGATCATAAATAAAATATATTAAGGATATATACATCTTAACACATCATCAAAAATATATATATATAAAAATAAACTGCGATCAGATTTACTTCTCTCCTTAACTTTAATACTAAGAATGTGTTGTCACTCAAAGTGAATTTGTCTATCAGCAATCTGTCTATGCAATAAATTATATTTTAACATTCTTTTAGTGCCAGACTACATTGCATACAAGTGTCACATATTTTATTTTATACAAGTATACTGTACAATTAAGTTAAATTTGTAATAGATTTATTCAGTTGTCAAATAATGATGTGTACAGTCAAACACAATTTATATATAGGTGTAAATAGGTAGTGATGAGTTAATATTAATTATTGTGGTTCTAACTTGTTATCTGTCGGTTTCAGCTGTTATAATGAATGAAGAGTGTCATTTAAATTATGAAACTTCCGCTACAGACCTATGTGTACCCAGGGTTGAGGGTCAAGGTCATGATGTAGTGGACGTAAGGCAGGGTGAGCCTAGTTATGCGACATGGCCAGGACGACCCAGGTATGAGGGTCAGGCCAAAAGTCGGAGACGGTGGTCAGAACAACCAGGGGTGTCACGGGTGCGTGACACCGAGGTTGCTAATTGGGTACATAGCATTAATGAAAAGCATCAAGAGCATGAAGAGTTACAATGTCAGAGGACCGATAAGAGACATCTCTCCACACCTGAAGGAACGGGACGGAGTCGCAGCGTTTCAAGGGAGTCCGGTGAGCTGAAGTTACCTAATCCAAAGAAAGTTAAAACTATAGATCCTACGGATAAAATATTAGATAAGGTTATGGCTATTTTGCAATCGGTTAAAAGTTCAGAAAAACCTAGGTTGGCTTTTGATACTAATATTGTTCCGGAGTTTGACCCTATGTCAAGAGAACAAACAATACTGACATGGTTAACAAAGGTAGAGGAGTGTGCCGAAATTTATGGTTGGGAGGATAGGGAAATTATTCACTATGCACTTCCTAAGTTGACCGGTGTAGCGCGATCTTGGTATCGGAATTTACCAACTATAATGTATACATGGATCGAGTGGAAAAGGAAATTAATACAATCCTTTCCCGTTCGGGAAGACTATGCTGAACTTTTAACCGAGATGCTTGCTAAAAGAGTTAAATACGGCGAATCACTTGACCATTACTATTACACTAAAATAAATTTGTTAAATAGATGTGGGATACATGGACGTCAGGCTGTTGATTGCATAATATATGGTGTTGACGATAGGTCTATTAAGATAGGTGCGCAAGCGGCGCAATTCACTGAACCGGAGCAAGTATTAAAATATTTTAGAACGGTAAAAGTTGGGCATAGCCGAGAAAATCATACGATAAAATCTCGAAATGATCGTAGAGGTACTTCATTTACTACAAAGGCTAATGATTCAAAAATCACGTGTTACAATTGTGACCAAACTGGCCACCCAAGTTATAAGTGTGACAAACCTGTGGTAAAATGCACGAGTTGCGAAAAGCTAGGTCATCTATCTATGTATTGTTACAAAAAGAGAGATACGAATAAAGATCGAGAAAAGGACGTTCTAGTTCGACCTAGGAGCGAACAGCAGGTAGCTCAGTTGAATATGACTGAAGAGTCAACCGCCAAATATATAATTAATATTAAAGTAAATGATCATCTAGTAGATTGTCAGTTAGACTTGGGTAGTCAATGTTCTCTTATAAAACTAACTAAGGCCAAAGAATTTAATTTAGATATGGTAATATCGGATGATTTACCCACTCTTAGGGGTATAGGAGGAAATCTCATCTCTCCGGTAGGCGTGGCAATTGCTTCTATTGAAGTACAAAACATTAAAGAGATATTAAATTTATACGTAGTTGAAGACTATGTTATTAAACAATCTGTTCTCTTAGGTCATTCTTTTACTGAAAAACCAAACATTTTCATTACAAAAACCCCTACTGCCGTCATATTCAAAAAAATCTCCAGTGACAAGATACACCTTAACGTAAGCGAAAATATAGAGATTCCATCAAATACCTTACGCGCAGTTCAAGTTTACACTGATGGTGACATAACGGTTAACGTCTATGTAAATGGTTCTGTCAGAGGTCCAGAAGGAAAAGAATACTATCTCCTCCCGGGGGAATACGAAATCAAGAAAGGATATAGTACGTTATTGATCCATAATGCTTCACCCAGTTCAATTACACTGAAAAAGGGCACTCTCTTGACCCGAGTCCGCGAGACTGATGTAGGAGGCTCCAAAGTAGTATTAAATTCTTGCACCGTTACGTTCAATGAAACTCGAAATGATGACATTTTAAATTGCAACGAGAAATTGAGCGACATAGAACGATTAAAGTTTAGAAAACTATTACAAAACTATAAAGACTGTTTCTCTAGTGGACTTAAAGATTTGGGCTTCACAAATTTAACGGAGATGGTAATTGAACTTGAAGATTCGGTCCCAATCGTCTATCGTCCTTATCGTATGCCTTATGCTGACCGTATTTTAGTAAGGAGTATGGTACAGGAGATGATTGAACATGGTATAGTTAGGGAATCTACGTCACCATACGCCAGTCCCATCGTTTTGGTACAAAAAAAATCCGGTGATAAACGCTTATGTGTTGACTACCGAGCATTAAATCGCAAAACAAAAAAGGAACATTATCCTCTCCCTCGAATCGAAGATCAACTCGATCAGCTGGCAGGAAACAAAATTTTTACATCACTAGACCTAGCCTCAGGGTACTACCAAATACCTATAGCCGAGGAGTCAAAACACAAAACTGCGTTCGTCACACCTGATGGTCAGTACGAGTACAATCGCATGCCATTTGGCTTAGTGAACGCACCGTCAGTCTTTCAACGTACAATCAATAAGATATTATTGGAAGCGAGAGTTAAATTTGCGATAGTCTACATGGACGACGTCCTTATTCCGGCCAGGGACTTCGATGAAGGCATTAGGCGGTTAGAAGAAGTTTTGGGACTTCTCAAAAGGGGTGGCCTTACGCTCAGATTGAATAAATGCAATTTCTTCATGGAAACCATAGATTTTCTTGGGTACGAGGTGAGTGCCGAAGGAATTAGACCGGGATGTCGAAAAATCGAAGCGGTCACCAAATTTCCAAAACCTAGGAATCAACATGAAGTAAGACAATTTCTTGGACTATCAGGATATTTCAGACGGTTCATTTTGCATTACGCTTTATTGGCGGCACCATTAACCAACTTATTGAAAAAGGACGCAAAGTGGTCTTGGGATGATAGTCAGGACTGTGCTTTTAGTAAAATAAAGGCCATGCTCACTAATAGACCAGTACTGGCACTGTATAATCATGATGCTGAGACTCAATTACATACAGATGCCAGTAAGGAAGGATTAGCCGGCATTTTATTACAAGCAAATTCAGATGGCGTCTTCCAACCGGTTTCATATTTCAGTCGCAAAACGAACGCGGATGAACGTAAATTCCACTCTTACGATCTAGAAACCTTAGCAGTAATAGCGTCTCTGAATCGATTTCGAGTCTATCTTATCGGCATCCCTTTTAAAATATTCACCGATTGTAATGCATTACGGTCAACAATGATTAAACGAGAGTTGATTCCGCGAATCGCTCGATGGTGGATCCAATTGCAAGAGTATGACTGTGTCATTGAATATCGACCAGGAGCACGTATGTCGCACGTCGACGCTTTAAGCCGTAATCCGGTGGACGAAAATACTGTTGAAACCCCAACACACATTGACGTCTTAGCCATTCAACAATGCGAAGACGATTGGATTAGCACGGTACAATCCGCTGATGAAGAGGTAAAGAAGATAAAAGATATCCTGTCTGATCCCGATTCAGAACAGGTAATGGACATCCGCAAAAATTATAAGCTGAAAAATAACCGCGTTTTTAAAATCGTTGGGGATGAGATAAAGTGGCTGGTACCAAAAGGCGTACGATGGCAGATCCTAAAAATGAACCATGATGATGTTGGCCATTGTGGTTATGACAAAACACTATCACGTATCCGCAAAAATTTCTGGTTTGCAAAAATGCGCAAATTCGTAAAAAAATACGTTACATCATGTTTAGAATGTGCACATCACAAAACACCTGGGGGAAAACGAGAGGGTGAGTTACACCCTATAGATAAGCCAAGTATACCCTTTCATACAGTCCATGCTGACCATCTAGGCCCATTCGTAAAAAGCAAAAATGGTAATTGCTATCTGCTTATTTTGGTCGACGGCTTTACAAAATTCGTGAACATTAAACCAGTAAAGGATACCAAATCATCAACTACAATACGACTTCTCAAGGATCACATTAGCCACTTTGGAGTACCAACACGTCTTATCACGGACAAAGGTACAAGCTTCACGAGCGGCGCCTTTAAGGAATTCATAATGTTATATGGCATTAAACATATTATAAATGCCGTATCGACCCCACGGGCGAATGGCCAAGTAGAGAGATTCAACAGAACTATTCTCAATGCGCTCTCTACTTCATCTCACGGCAAAGATGAAAAATCGTGGGATAAACAAATTCCAGATATTCAACTAGGGTTAAATACTACGACCCACAAAACTACCCAAAAGTCCCCATCAGAGCTCCTTTTTGGATTCAATATTAAATGTAAGAGTGAAAATATATTAAGTGAAATTTTCGACGATACCGTTAAGATAACATCTGCAGAAAATCTAAAAAACTCTAGGGACGAAGCTAGAATTAAAATATGTAAAGAACAAACTAAGGACGCAGAAAGATTCAATAGCCGTAGGAAGGTAGCAAAACAATATTCTGTCGGAGATTTAGTGCGTGTTGAACGGCAGGTCCCTCACGATGGACAGTCGCAAAAACTAGTAGTTAAGTATCAAGGACCGTACCGCGTGATTAAGGCACTTCGTAATGATAGATATGTTATCGAAGACACTCCGTTATCTCGTAAACATAATCGTCGCTATGAAGCTATCGTAGCAGTCGATAAAATGCAACCGTGGTTAAATTTTCATAGAAATTTAGATAGTGATAGTAGTGGTGAAGGATACGAATCAGAAAATAATTAAATAATATAGTATAGAAATAATGTTATAGGTATAAGCATAACGCAACACTACGAACACGATCTATATGAGATTAAGCAAATTGTGATCTTATGTTAATATGATTCGGGATAATTGTTTTTATATATAATTAATACTATGATAATTGTTTTTATATATATAATTAATACTATGATGATGATGACTTACCAATGAATAGTTTTGGTTAAATATATATTTTCTTTTTTTATTATAATAATTACTTGAAGACAAAAATGGATGTAATTATAATTTCATTACTTAATTTAAATATGTCAATGTTAATATAATTCTGATACTTGTTATAAACTGTTCATTTGCACAAATACCCACTTAATTAGCGAGGGGGGCTCGCTATTTACAGGAAGGCCGAGCTGTAAGCCTATTATTATTATTGTAACATTTTTATTAAAAGTAATAACAAATAAAATGATGATGTCTACTTAATTAATAAGTGTTGTATTGACCGAATGTGTAATGGTACAAAAATGTTAGGTACTTCTTTTAAAACACAATTTCTATTAAACCGTATCTCCATGGCTTAGTATTTCTAAACAATAACTCTTAAAATAATCTAAACATATTGTTATTATTTTTGTACCTTATCAATGATTGCGTAATTACTTAATACAATAATTGACATAAGTACGTAACAATACAAAGGAACACTCTTTATAAAAAGTACTTTCTACTCTTGTTAAATTCAAGCAACCATACTCCTAAACGGAATTTATGAATATACAATTTATTATTATATACATTTACAAATTTAAATATAAGAACTCTAAATTAGAATATTATGTTGAGAACAATATCCTGCAAATAGCTATTGCGCTACCTTTTTTTATTATAGGTTGGTAGCACAGAGTAGTAATAGGCAGTAAAGTTGGCATTAAAAAAAAAGAATTATTATTGTAATGGACGATAAGTTTGTGAATACTTTCGAAGGAAATAAAATAAGTTCATGAGTATCGCCTGTTTAATTTTAACATCGCCATCCCTTCCAAGGGTGGGCTTATCTCTATAAGAGATCTCTTCCAGCCAACCAGGCGGTGTGGGAGATCAAGCAGTAACGGGAGACTGACAAGTGCATAATTGTTAAATTTGATGTGAATGAATATTAACATTAATACATATAGGCATGATATAAAAAAAAATCAATAAAAAAATAGAATACATAAATAAACAATTTTATATAATACACATAATATACATATATAAATAAAAATAATAATGATTACAAAAATTATGAATACGAACATTGTGCTAGAAAGTGCTCCTTGAGTTTAGTTTTGAAAGATATGATAGAGGGGCAGTCTCGAATGTCTAATGGGAGTTTGTTCCATAGTCTAACAGCCCGTACAGAAAAAGAGTCGAAGAGAAAATTGGTGTTACTTTTAGGCCGCTCCAAAGTTTTAGTAACACAGTACCGCCGGAGACGGGATAGGAGAGGAAGCTTCTGCAAACGGGAATTCAGGTATGCGGGTGAGTTAGGATCTTTAAGAATTTTGAAAAGGAATGAAAGGATGTGCATATCACGGCGAAGACGGATAGGAAGCCAGTTAAGTTGAGCTCGAAAAGCTGAGACATGATCGTATTTACGCAGTCCAAAAATGAACCGAATTGCGAGGTTTTGAAGGCGCTCTAGCTTATTTAGTTGATCTTCATTCACATCCAAGTAGCAAATATCAGCGTAGTCAAGAATAGGAAGCAGGAGTGATTGCGCTAGCATAATTTTGGTTTTAAGGGGAAGAAAGTATTGAAGTCGTTTGAGAGAGCGGAAAGAATAGTGCATCCGTTTGCTAGCGTCAGCCATTTGCGGGGACCATGAAAGAGTACTATCCATAGTCAAACCAAGATTTTTTACTTTGTCTGTGAATGGAATCGGTATACTGTTATATACGACTAGAGGTATACAAGTCCAGTTAAGTTTGCTGCGGAGTCTGCTACTGCCGACAATCATAGCCTGGCATTTATTTGGATTGACCATAAGACCAAATGAAACCGCCCATTTCTGAATAGAAGCAAGATCTCTATTTAAAGCATCAATGGTATCCAGAGCATCGTCGATAGAGAAGTGCCTATAGATTTGAAGGTCATCTGCGTAAAGATGAAAAGGAGAGGAAATAACGGTAGAGATATTATTAATAAAAATAGAGAAAAGTAAAGGTGAGAGAACACCACCTTGTGGTACACCGGCTGACAAATTTAGCCAGTCAGAAGAAGAAGAATTGAAAACTACGCACTGAGAGCGTTCAAAAAGATATGATCGGAACCAATCAATAGCAGAAGCGGAAATGTTAAGCGAGCGGAGAGTACTAAGCAAAATGTCAAAGTCAACACAATTGAAGGCACTGCTAAAATCCAGTAGAACCAAGGCTGTAAGTTTCGTAATCCATAGCATGGCGAATATCTTCAGTTGTGTTCAACAGTGCACCAACTGTGCTGTGAGCAGGACGGAAACCAGATTGGTAAGGACACAAAAGAGAGTTAGATAAGAGAAAATAGAAGATTTAAGGAAATAGAAGAGAGAATAGGGAGAATAGAAATAGGACGATATTGACTAAGTGAAGAAGGATTGTGAGTTTTAGGAAGAGGTATGACATGAGCTCTTTTCCAAGATGCAGGAAAGACATTGTTTTCCAAAGAGAAATTTATAATGTGAGTAATTATTGGAACAATGTCCTCCAGAACAGGAAGTAACATGTCAAGACTTATGCCATCACTTCCAATCGCCTTCGTGGAGATGGATTTAATACATTTTGTAATATCTTCCTCAGAGACTACGCTGAAGAAAAAGGGGGGACAGTCAGGTGAGTTATTAAGACGTGATAAAAAGGAAAGAGTGTCAGACTTAGTTGTCATGTCTTAAGTAAGAGAAGGTGAGGAGAAATGCCTATTGAGAACATTCAGATCCACGATGCTCTGGCTAGCCTCTTCCGACTTACCCACACCTAGTGACTTTAAAAAACCCCACAAATGCTTTTGATTTAAACTTTCTATTTGGCTGTGAATATAATTATGTTTAGCATTTCTACACATTTTGTTGCAGATATTGCGCCAGTTTTTATAAATTCGTAAATTTTCAGGAGAAGGGGCTCTTTTCTGTTTACTTTTGGCCTTATCTCGTTTTGCCATAATTTTTCGGATATCTGAGGTTAACCAGGGGGCAGGTACATGTTTCACACGAACTGGACGAACCGGAGCGTGCAGGTCATAAATGTCAATAAGAGCAGAAGTGAAGTAATCTACCATATCATCCACATTACTACCACGCAACAGCGGTGACCAGTCCTTATTTCTTACATCATCTCTCAAACGTTCATGAACCATTTGCTTAAAATTGCGCAGAAGTCGTATCCGTGGTTTAATTTTGGGAGGACGCACTTGAAGTGAAACATAAATTAAATCGTGATAAGAAAAAGGAGCGGTAATTTGTCCGTGAGTGCTAACTAGCTCAGGATGAGAGACAATCATAACATCTAATAGGGAAGGTTTACAGTTGGGGAAATAATGAGTGGGGGACGTCATGTCAAGTACGTGAAGATTAAGGGATAACAAGAGATTAAGAAGTTTATTTGCTCTAATGTCCTTTTTCAACAAACATGTGTATAGATCACCCATCAGTACAACGTGATCAAAAGCAGGAATCAGATTTTCAAAGGTATTTTCCAAACTGTTGAAATAATCTATCTATCTATCTAAGCACCTATAAGAACTTTTTTATGGTGAGTGACTACTTCAATAAATATATATTCAATAGAACACGTATAATTAGATGGCGAACAAGTGATTATCCTGGTAGGTATGTGATTACGCAGATAAATACCTACACCACCACCACCCACGTCAATGCGATCGTTGCGAAAAAGATTATACCCTGGGAGAGAGCAACCTGAAGGATTGAAGGTTTTAACCATATTTCAGAGATCAGAATACAATCAACCACGCTATTGCTAAAGGACGCAAGAAGATCAGTACGATGTGCTGGAATACTTTGCGCGTTTATATGCACGAAGGAAAGAAAATTAGGATTTTCACCAAATATCTCTAACAGTTCGATGTTAAGCGGTTTAAATACAGTTAATGAAGAAACGCTACTATTGGCACTTTCGTATTCATCCGAAGAACAAGAAAAGTAATCATCATTCAAATCCATATTAAATAAATATACGTATATAGTAAAATAAATACTTATAATAAAACACAAAAACTAAGATAACTCCAAAATAAAATAAATAACACAGAAACCGAATACGCAAAATCATCTTCCACGTGCGTAAGTTGACGTGAAAAGACTACTCTAAACACCACGGAAATTTCTATATATACACTAAAAAAAAAATTACCTATGATTTCAATTCATCACAGAAATAAAATATCCTCATCGCATTATATAACCAAAAGTGGAAAGCAAAAGAGTTTATATTTAATTTTAAGTATGGCTGTATGTAAACACGCTTTTGGATTCCTTTGCCTTCCTTAGAAAAAACACAACTGACATTAGACAGTAATGACACTGACGTAGGATGTCGATATTATACATTGTAAATGTGTTTGAAGAAGTAAAACAATTTTGAAAAATACAGGGTAATAAATAAGTACAGAAATAATAACGTACCATCGAATTTGTGAAGATAATCCGACAAAGTAAAAAAAAAATCACAAAGTGTATGCAACAAGTGTTCATTTCGTCTCTTTTGTGATCTCCGTAGACTGAATTGGATACTTTTGTATGAGATGTTGTAAATCACTATTAGAGAAGATCTTCTTTCTTGTTCCGTCAGCCAGTAAAACAATGACCGTACCTTCAGAGGACCAACACTTTCTCTTTCCAAAGTGTTTACGAGCTGCAGCAAAGATATCCTGTCTCGCCTTAGTGAGAAATTCTGACACTGTTACATTGGAACCCCTCAATGGAGTTTTCATATTCCATACCAACATGCGAGGCTTCATTTCAGTAAAACGCACCAATATAGGCCTTGAGAAATCTTTCTTTTTAGTACCAAGTCTATGACATGTCTCAACCCTATCAGCATCCACTCCTTTTATCTTCATTTGGTTGCTTAATATTGAAAGTA